TAGGGAATAGCAAAACACTGATCATTGCATGCGATCAGGGGCAAGAGTGATTGTAAGATCTGTGCTGGACCCCTATATTTAGGTCCAAGGTGGGTCTGAATCTTTACTAATGAGGAATAGCAACTCAGGCCTGGCACAGAGAACAAAGTAATTCTTCATTTTGACATATCCTAAGGCAGCACTATGAACACATGTGACAAAAGAATGTGTTGGCCCCAAACAGAATGGCCAGCACAGAAAATGAGGCTAGCTGAAACAAAATTTATTACTTGATTTGCACCATCTAAAAGAGAAAGTAGTTCTAGGGAACACAAAGAATTCATCAGTAAAATGATTTCATTAGGCACTCTCTCTGTTCCTAGTGAGAGATACCAAACAGTTTAGATACTGAAGAGGTTCCATGGCTTCCCCCAATAACCCCTCAATATCCCTTATGATAGGAGAACTGACATTTACTGAATGCCAACTATGCATCAGATACTGTACTACTTAGAATCATAATTCTAGTTAATTTTCAAATGATTATGAGGCTTATTCCAGTTTTACACAAGAAGAGATTGTGGAATATAGAAATACAAAACCAAGTGCCAGCCAGAACCAAAGCAACAGCAAATCCGACCCTAGATATGTAACCACAGAACTGAGACTACCATGTGGGGGTGCAGAGGTGAGGGAATGGTGTGGATGGGGCATAATGGACTGTGTGGGGAACTCTGGGTGTCTAGGTGCTGGGTGTGATGTGGTTACATGCATTTGAAGGGGGTGATCCTGTACCTCGCATCATATATAACACTAAACCAACAGTATCTTAATCAAAACTAAATAAATAATAAAAGATGAGACGGTGACTCAGGGCACAAGTAACTTGCCCAAGACTGTCTGTAAATGACAGAAGTGGGAATCAATTCCAACTGTGTTTGGCTCCAATACTGGGCTCTTTCCATTATTCACTCTGTCTAAAATCACCGGCACAGCTTCTCCTCTTTAGTTTGTATCCCTGTTATAACATATGATTCATATGCCCCACGGGAAGGTAACTAGGCTCTCATCAGTCTTTATGCTCTCTTTAGGAGATGGAAGCGCAAAGGGGAGGAGGGAAATCTGACACAGAAGAGAAAACTCTGAGATGGAAAAAAGAAGAGACACGTTGGGCCTACTGAAGGCTGCATTTTTCTTTAAGTGACAGGGATCGTTTATTTTGCTGTAAGTGGCTTTCTGCAGGAATTCTCCCCTCCCCTCTTTCCTGGTCACACCAACGGGAGAGACTTAAGAATAACCTACATTAGTAGACAGGCTTGGGAAGGGGTGCTATAATGGGCTGCCTAAGTTGGCCGGATAGCATTTAGGGTGCAATCCCTCCACCACTTCCATTAGGCCTGGATCTCTTCGATGATAGTGCAGCAGACATGAAGAAATGTCATAAAACCCCCAAGTGAATCTTCACCATTTTCCCTTTGTTCCTCCAGTGTCCTGAAATTTCCTATTGTGACCAAAGGTATTAGGGCAGGAATGATGAGTTAGCTAGAAGCAAGCAAATACTTGGAGAAGCAAAATGTCTAGTGGAGAATTTTATTTGCTAAGGCAGTGTGACAAGGCATAACATAGGTGCCTGCTGTACATTAGTTCTAAGAGCAAAAGTTGTGGAAAATACTGAGTCCATCTACTTAGATCACTTAAGAAATTGGCCTCTCTTCCAAACACGTTGTAAAGTAATGTTGCTAGTTTATAAAGGGAATCACTTTGCAAAGCCAGCCAGTCTCACCCCAAGAATCCACGGAGAAATGTTCACTCCAACTGGCCTGAATTATTCATTTTGACCATATTTGCTCATAAGACATCTAAAGAATTTCTTGGAAGGCATCATGTTTTATCGATATGATGCCATTTTTCCATATCATTTGAGGTTCATGTGGGACGAGAGAGACACACTTACAAAGATGAACATAATTGCCAGAGAAATCTAAAATCCATCTTGGCATTCTAAGGTGTTTCTCTGAGAAAGGAAAGAACACAAACAAAACTATCGTTAAATCTTTTCAGTATTAATTCAGTCTTTTGAAATAAAATACATGGTATACTTTACCACTTTCCTTTTTTTTCTTTTAAGTTTTTATTACTTAAATACGCCATACTATAGCAAATGTCTCCAAAAATATCACAAACAAAAGATTTTTTTCTTCATTCAGCAAATTAGAAATTAGTATAGAATCCAAGTGCTCTAAATTGACTATAAGAAAGATGGCGCTGGGACTGCTGATGTGTACTGAGCAAAAATGCAAAACAGGTTTGTCTTCAGTCTTCTC